GTCCGAGTCAAAACAGTGACTGGAGAGAGGATGATAGGAACTGGACTGCAGTGTAAGGGAGTAAGGAAAATAGAGAAGCCAAGCTCCCGCAGAGACTCCTGGAGGGCAGAACTGCTCCGTGTGTGACTGCTCCTATGGCCGCTTGACCCTGGGACTAGAAATCTCAGCCACCAGCAGCCCCTCTACTGAGCTCATCTGCACTTCAAGTCTATGATGCTCAAATTCAAAGAAGCAAACAGGAACATCCCATGACAACCAGGTGACCTCAGGATAGCAACTTTCCTCCAGTATTTGAAGGAGAACATGTTCTGAATTTCTGTAACTAAGGAGGATTATGTGCGAGAAGCAAGCAAAATTTAGGAGCTAACTGCCCATTTGTGTAGATGGTGGAGGGTAGAAGAAGCCAAATGAATCACAAGACAGGTAGGACAATCATTTCATGGTGATTAAACCAGTCTTCTGATCTGAAAATGAATCTTATCTTAAATTTTGGGAAACAGATTAAAAACTTCAGAATTGTAAATATAAGCATGGCCATGTGAAACTAAATGTGCCTTCTTTAATTTGCTCATGTATTTTCAGTGCTGGAACTCAAATCCAGAACCTCATATATGTGAGCTATGAAGTTGACTGTAGTGATATATCCCAGCCCCAATTTATGTGCATTTTTGAGATGGAATAGGGAACCAAGAACTTTCGTCAGGCAAGAGGTGACAAAGTCATTGCCTAGAAATTCCTTCCTGGGGTGAGGCTGCTTCCATGGACTGAAGCCATCAGAGGGGATGGTATAAAGTTGGGTTAGGCTTCATGCTCAAGCCTCTCGTTGGAGTTGGTGAGGGTTAGCACCCCCCACACACCTGTACACCCCCCCTCCCCCAAGTAATCATATGGGGTCAAACGGGAGTGACAGAGGTCCCCAGCACTCACACGGGGCAGCTGGACACTCCAGGCATCCAGGAAGCTGAGGACAGGTGCACGCGCTCCTTGTCATCCTGTATCTGGAGCCGGATGGGTCGTCTCAGTCCCCAGGAGATGTTGAGGAGACCCTCGATGATTAGAGCCCCTTCTTCCTGTAAAATCCCACAGTGATCAGCCCTTTCTTTCAGCCCTGCTGCCTCCAGGGATCACCGCCCACCTTCCCTGAGTCCCCGCAGGACCCAGTCCCTTGTCTGTGGGACCCCAGACACTCACACCTGCAAGGACACTCTCTTCCCTGGTGTCCTGTCTTCCTCTTGGGGAGTCCTTGTGGGATTGTATGTGTTCTGAGGCGTAAGGCCATTGGGCTGACCCCAGGAAGCCTGAGGTGTGCCCTTCTGTGCTCAGCCCACCCATCCCGGGCCCGAGGGCACAGAGTGGCCGATTTGGTGGCCCACAGGAAGCCAGACACTGTCTAGCAGGCACGTCCACACAGTGGGAAGGAAATTCTGATCAGGGAAGCGTGGCTAGGCTCAAACACCATGAAGTACAAAGGAAAAAACTCCTCTTTCACTTCGTGGCCCAGAAAGGGAGGCCTCCCAAATCTTACTGGGGATGACCTGAAGGTGCTGGATTTCCCACCTCTGCAGTGTGGGAGCTGCTCCTCGTAGCTGGGCAGCCCTGCCCTTCACAACACACAGTTCCCATCAATAGGCTGACCCCAGCTCTGGGCTTCTAACTGGTGTTACACACAAGTCAAATAGCAATAACAGACCCCTTCAGTGCCCCCTATTTTCCTTGCTGATGAGCCTTTAGGACCTCATCAGTCAAGTCCTCCAGAGTCACCCTTAGGCCTCTGTCACTCACTCCCTTCAGGTCCTGATTTCATTTCTCTGACTTTGTTGGCATTCTTTCTCCCTGTGGCCTCTGCTAGGCTCTCTGACCTCTCAGCCTAATCACGTGCAGGCACTGCAATCCTGCTACTTAGCATCTTCGAAGCCCCTTCCAGAAAACTTCCCAGCCTCAGCCTTTTCCAGTGCTACCATTTTCCCATGGATACGTGCATACTCTGCCCTGATACTAGTCTCTGACATGAGGCAATGAACCAAAAACACCAGTCTCCCACTGCTATCTCCAGCACCATTTTAGGTACACAGTCTTTTTTTTTTTTTTTTTTTTTGTCCTCAGCAGCCAAACACCTGCAAACATAGAAAAACTTGTGGGAAATTTCTTTTACCTATGGCAATGCTTCCTTACAGACAATGTAGTAATGAGTTCTGGGCCAGTTAGTGATTGTTTAAAATAACCTGCAATCTTTAGGGTAAAAAAAAAGCAATGCATCAGAGTTATTCTCTGTTCAAGGTTATCAAAATTAAACAGAGTTTTCTGGAAAGATCTTGCACTATTTGTTTTAAAATAATTTTAAAAAGTTCTATTTTTGATAACCACTGATATCACCTGAGCTTAGATATGTCACAAACCTTCTCCATCAAGGAAAGACTACATCAATCCATTGACTTTAAAATACCCAGAAGGACACTAAGAAAACCTGAAATGGGATGAGTCTTGGCCCCTGTCACATGTTCAGCACCCTGATGGAGAGAGCCCTGACCACACTGGACTGCCTTGGCACTTACTTCCAGAGAATCATTTCTGCCTAGCCCCATGCTGAGCCATGGGTGGGGAAGAGATGTAGCAGATGCAGTTGTGAGGGACTTGGGGCACCATTTAATGCTCCAGAGAGAGGAAGAGAGGACCCAGTGAGGCAGTGCAGGGAGACAGGGCACTGAGGCTGAGTTTTCAATGACACTCACCAGGAGAGGGTTCTGGTGGGACACTGCAGTGAAAAAGGAGGCGGGAAGTACAGCCCAGGGGCTGGGAGGAGGACTCTGACCAGGGGTGCTGACTCTGAAGCCATGGATCAGCTGAGTGGGAAACCAGCCACCCTGATGTGACTCAGGCCTTTCTGTTCCCAACCTTCTCCCATTATAGTTCTACCTGTCCCTCAACTTAGCCCCATAGCGATGTCATCTGGAGGTCCAAACAGAGGGCAACTTTCACCCACCTGTTGGAAATACTTACAGGTGGAGCAGGTGAGAAGCTGGGTGCTGGGGCCTCACAATTTCACAAGCCCTGGGGAAGGCCTTTGGTACTGCTAAGCCTCTGTCCAGTCAGTCCACATCAGACCAATCCCTGGCTAGTGTGCTGACTGCTAACAAACTCAGAGAGAGCTGGAAAAGTTTTGACAGAAGCATCTACAGAAGAGTTCTCAAGTGAGAGGGTGCCATGCCCAGCTGAAATACTGCCCGTCCGGCTTATCAGTTAACCTTGAACAGAGAATAACTCTGTTGCTTTTTTTACCCTAAAGATTGCAGGTTATTTTAAACAATCACTAACTCCCCAGAGCTTACTGGGGAGGTCCCACAGGCTCCCCACTCATCCAGCTTCCCTACAACTCCAGAACCCCACAGACACAGGTAAGTGAGCCACTGCTTTATGTTTTAAAATTAAATGCAAAGAGTTTATGTCTAAGGACTGTTCTCAGCCAGACTTAAGCAGTCCACAGGGGGCTAGATGCCAGGGAGACAATGAATGCCAGATAGGGGGAGAAAGTTGATGCAGTGATTGCAGCTGTGGACAGTCCTACTGACCCCCCTTCGTTCCATGAGCAATACCCCTCGAGAATGAAGAGATTGGGGTCTCTAGGCCCTCTGGCCTGCCAGGAGTCTGGAGTTTGCTGCACAGTCAGCTCTCAGGCAGGGCTGCTGTCCCAGTGTCTGCCTGTCATCCCTGCCTGTGGGCACAAGACAGGTATGTTCCAGGCGAGGCTGTGACTGGACAAATGACGCAGTGCCTTGTCAGAGAGGTACGTGGGGCTAGCTCTGTACTGAGACCTTTCTCATGGTCACCAACTCATCCTCAGCTGCCTCTTGTGCCAGCACAGTCCCCTCTGGCACTGTCAGTAGCTGCCCAACTACTCAGGAGTTCCATTCATTGTCTCTTTCAGCCACTGGGTGTAAAGTGGCTACATCAGGCCTTCAAACTGGAAGCCAGCCAGCTGCACCCTTGCTTGATCCCTCCTGCCCAGTTGTACCCTTGCTGAACCCCTGCCCTGTCCTCTGTTCTCTGGGAGGGAACCCCAGAGCCCATGCCGAGGTCCACTTCCGCCCTGTAGGCTAGGCATGCAGCCCACATGGTGCCCTGAGCAAGCCCTGCACACCCCTCTAAGGGGCTTTGCGCAGTCTGTCCCCTCCACTGGGGATGCTCAAGCCCACTTGCTCTGGCCTCTACTTAGCGCCCATCACCCATCTCAGGGAAACCCTGAAGACCACTCTTGTCTGTGCTGTGACTGCTGGGCTGTTTCCAGCACCCCACTTGCGGCTGTCTCCCTCACTATGAAGCAAACTCCAGGGACAACGGCTATTCGCTGCTGTGCTCTCTGTGCTAAGGGTCATCCCTAGTACACAAAAGCACCGACAGCACCTGGCAAACAATTGCACAAACACACACTCACGTGGGAAGCACAGTAGCTGGGAAAGGGCAATACCAGGGCCTTGTGGGTAGTTCTGGGTCCCAGTGGCATGTCTAACCTGAAAGTGGTCATCCCCCCAAACTTCCCCCGCCCCCCACTCAGCCTAACAGCCCTTTTCCTGGCTGTGCTTGGCTTGCATTACCATGCCCGGCAAGGAGCCTCATAGAAATAGGCCCTGGACTCTGCCAGAAGGAGCACTAGGACAAAATGTCCCCAGTTGGCAGGGAACTGATGTCATATATAGTGGGAAGTGCTTCCCGATAGTGGTGGTGGTGGTGGTGGTGGTGGTGGTGGTGGTGGTGGTGGTGATGGTGGCAGATCCCTAGGGCTGTGGGAGCCCAGTGGCACTCCAAGTCTCTGCCTCCGGGTGACCTGAGGTGGCCAGGAGCTGTGTGTGCCCCTCCCCCTCATACTGTGTAAACATTCCCAGAACTGCAAGAGCAAACACTCCAGCCTGGCAGCTAGATGAGGCCCCGCCCACCAAGCTGTTTTCCTCTGAGATCCTTCCTGAGCACTGCTATTTCTGGCCCTCGTGACAATAACGGATGGCTGGTGGAAGGGTATAAAAGCAGCTGCTAGGCCCTGTGCCTGGCCACACAGGGCAGAGAGCTGCAGCACACTGTCCTCAGAGCTCAACCTCGGGACTTCCATCCTTCTGCGGAGCTTACTGGGGAGGTCCCACAGGCTCCCCGCTAATCCAGCTTCCCTACAACTCCAGAACCCCACAGACACAGGTAAGTGAGCCACTGCTTTATGTTTTAAAATTAAATGCAAAGACTTTATGTCTGAGGACTGTTCTCAGCCGGAGACTTAAGCAGTCCACAGGGAACTAGAAGCCAAGGAGGCAATGAATGCCGGATAGGGGGAGAAAGTTGATGCAGTGATTGCAGCTGTGGAAGGCTTTGTATTCCTAACGGGGTCCACATGATGTTTCTTTCCATGTGTGGCTCTGAATGCCCTGTGATCATTTGCAAGCCCATAGAATGGATGAGTGAGTAGAGGCTGAGAGAGGCGAGACTGCCAAAGTCCCAAGACCTGGAGGTGGCAGAGAGTAGCTCTGAACCCAGATTTTCTGGTCCCAATCTATTGGACTGGGTTTGCTTATATGTATGGGTTCGTAAGCACACATGTGTGAGGTGGGGTGGGTGGGGGCTTCAATATTAGCAGAAAGAGGCCAGGAGACCAAGCCTGTGCTGAAGGATAATTCAAAACCACTCTCAGGCACATAGTTCCCACGGGCAGTGTCCAGTGATGCAAAGACGGAGAGGGATGCCAGGAAGATGCTGAGCCCCTGTATTCTTGCACCCACAGGGCACTACTTCTTTCCTGCAGACGGCCATGAGGTCCCGGCTTCTGCTTTCTGTGACCCACCTGCCCACCATTCGGGAGACCTCGGAGGAGTCACTTGCCACGAGCTCTGGTCTGGAGCCCCCCGCCTCCCCCAGCCTGGATGACTACGTGCGGTCCATCCGTCAGCTGGCGCAGCCCACCTCAGTGCTGGAGGAGGCAGGAGCTCGGGCCCGACCCCGAAGATCCCTCCGACGGCCAGCGGGTGGCCTCGAGAAGAGCTGCCCCACAGGGTCCCTCCAGGATATCACTGCCCATTTCAGTGGCCAGCAACCTGCACCGCCCAGCGACTCCACTGCAGACCCCCTGGACTGGCTTTTTGGGGAGTCCCAGGAAAAGCAACCAAGTAGGAGGGAGTTGCTGAGAACTGGCTCTCTTGCTGACTCTTGGGGTCCTTGCAGACGGATGGACAGTGGCAAGGCGCGGGGAAGCCCCCGAGGAAGGCTCTTTGAGGCCAGGGCCCCTGAGAATTCTCTGGTAAGAGCGTCCAGGGACGGCCACCGGGACACCCGAGTTTCCAGGCTCCCTGGCCGGGCTCTGGCCTCCCCGTGTGGCTCTCAGCCCAATGGCATCCTCAGAACTCTATATTTGCACCTTCCTGTGATCCACGAACTCTGACCGCACCCCAATAAAGATTCTGTAAAGAGCATGTGGGTCTGTGCTGTCTCCTTGCCCGCTCTCCCAGAGGGAAGCATGGCCCTACAGGGGCAGCCTCTTTGGCAAGTCACAGAGAGTCCTGACACTGAACAGTGCCCATGGCCTGCTTGTGTTGGGGTTTTAGTGCTCCCAGGAGCACTGCCCCATCCGTTCAGCCCAGCCTGTGGGCTATGCATCGAATGTCTCTGATCCTCAGAGTTCTCAGGGTTAAAATGGGGATAATCAACAGGACCAGCTGCGGAGGCTGTCTGACATGTAAATCAGCTCTGCCTTGTCCCTCCCCATACTTTACAGGTGATGTGTGCCCTGGAGCTACTATTACGTGTTATCTTTGGGGTAGGGACAAAGCTAGAGTTGGGGGGGGGGGTTGGAGAATGGCAGGCTCAGGCCTCAGCAGTTCCAGAGTGTGGGTCCTCTCCTAAATCAGCCTTCTGGCTCCTACCCAGAGTTCATGTTCCCTGAGGTCCCAGAGAAAGCACAAGGTCTTAGCAAATGCACCTGCTGTGTTTGGAACGCCAGGGGGTGCCTCAGGGGTGCCAACTTACAAGTCCTGTGGTGTCATTGGGATCATTTTCCAATGCTGAGAGGCAAGAGAAAACTTGTTCTAGCTTGACCAGAGGGGCTTATAAGTCCGGAACAGGTGGTCTCTACCCATCTCAGCCTGTCTCTGCCTCCAGGTGACTTCTTTGTCCCATAGGACAAAGATAAGAATCCTATACTGTCATCCTATTCCCAGGAATCCATCAGGTCAGGGAATTCCAGAGGAATTGTTGACAGGATTGTCCTCCTTAGAGAGCAGCTGTGACTTCAGAGAGTGAGGCCTGGGCAGTTGTCACCCTGATTCCTTGCACTGACTGACTGACCCTGGGCAGGGCAGAAGAGACTGAGAGGAGGATGCAGTTGGGGCTACAGGTAGGCTTACTTGCCTGCTTCAGTTTCTTCTACCTCCTTATTCTGTGGGTTCTCTCTCTCCTCTCTCTCTCTCTCTCTCTGTTTCTCTCTCCACCCATCTCTCATCTCTCTCTTCTTTCTCTTCCTTAATTTGGGGGATGGGCTATTTTAATTGCTTTATCTACTGAACATGTTTATCTGTTCTCTTTTATGTCTATTTTATGAAGAGATAGAATACAAAACATACATTGAATAGTTTCCAGATAGGTGATTTACTCAGTTTTCCGATGTATGAAATGAGTACAGCAGCTGTCCATCCCATCCCACAGGGGCTAAGAAAGCTGAACAGATAATCTTGGAAATGGAGTTAAAAGCACCAATACAAGCTTTGTAGCTATTAAAACCTGCTATGTGTGTGGTTAGCTCAACTCATATGCTCAACTCATAGGCTGTGGCTAAGACATGTGCCTTGGCTAAGACATGTGGGCAGCCTTTATCCAGCTTAGGAGGTGGTAGGAACAACTACCTAGTGGGTTCCTGGCTGGTTCTCTGGACCCAGACTCAGGGGAGCAAAACTAGGGTCAAAGGACGCTGTTTGCATCCTCTGAAAGTGACCCTCTACCTTACACACACACACACACACACACACACACACACACACACACTCCCAATATACCAGGTAAGTGAAAAAAGGGTTGAGGCAAGAACTTCTGGTAAGAGTTTCAGGCTCCTGGGAGAACAAGACCTCTCAGTGGGAAGTCATCATAGTGTGGGGGACCCTAAAACAGTCGCATTCACTGTGGGGTCAAGGAGGGACACAACATTTCACCCAGAAAGTATTGTGAAGAAGCATTTCAGGACATCCACAGACCAGACCGGCATCCCCCAGGAGCCAGAGCTCTATCAACTGCTCTTCACTCCTGCTTCCAGGAAGAAAGATGATGGTCAAAGAGGGAGAGTCCGGCCTTTCTGCCTCTAGGAAAACAAAGATACCACAGGCAGAGTTTGCTTCCTGCACAACAGGCCTGGAACTGAGGAAGGAGACCACAGTGGTCTAAGTGCAGAGTCATCAGGGGAGTTTAAGCCCATGAAGCATCAGGCAGGGTGGGAGGTGAGCCTTTAGAGGTGTTCCACATATGGGGACAGAAGGTTATTTGAGTATCCTACTACTTCTCTCCCTCACAGTTTGTCAGCAGCATTTTAGTTATCAACTGGAATATCCAGGTGACCAACAAACCAGGTCAATCCTATTGCTAACTTTAACGGGCATATTGCTCCAAATTGCTCACACTTTTCATTGTGATACAAGCCAAAGGCAATACTTACCATAAACTCAACTAGTGTCTTGGTCTCCTGAGTGAGGGATTCTTTGATTTAGCCCTTTGAAGCTGGAAGAAGGTCAGAGAAAAACACTCACTTGGGCCATGGTCCAGTGACAACACTTTATCTCTCTAAGTTATATGGAGCCAGATGAGAGAATAGAGGAGAAAGTGCCACCAAACCACAGCAGGCACAGCTACTTTGGAGGAGATCCAGTGACAGCAGAGCATGGGGTTCTCTTACAGAGCCTAACATGGTGGTCAAAGATTGGGGGCAAGCATGCTGAATATCTCTGTACACTGAAGGTATGTTTAGTTGGGTGATAAGAGTGACACACAACACCCTGTGTCCCTAAAACCTGTTAGGTGACATTCAATAAGCCCTTCACAGATCCCAAAGCTTAATGCTGGCAGTGATAATGTTAGAAACTATTATACCGTGAGCCAAGTCCACGTAGCATCTTTCACTTGCTGCAGCATCATCTTCCATAAGACACACACAGGGCCTGCATCTCTTTGGAAAATGGCAACTCCTAGGCAACAAAGCTCTGAGATTATAATAAATAAAACAGAAGCAAGTACCTAGGTGTGTCTTGCCCTGGCTACCAATCAACCACAGCACTGAGAAACAGGGCAGTGGGTAGATCACGGAGGGACATATTGGCAGGGAACCAGCCATGGAGTTCAGCCTTTGAACTCCACGCCTCTCTGTAGACTGCCTTCATGCTGGTGACCACCACCGAAACAGGCACATTCCTCCGGGCTGGTCTTCCTTGACTGCTAAAATTGCAGCTACTTCATGAAAGGTACTATTTTGTTTGGGGGGACCACACTCAGCATGCTCAGGGGTTACTCCTAGCTCTGCATGCAGGAATCATTCCTGGCCGTGCTCAGGGAACCAAATGGGATGCTGAGAATTGAATCTGAGTTGACCGAGTGCAAGGCAAGCATTTACCGGTGGTGTTATTATCACTCAAGCCCCTGAAAGGTTGGATCAGAGGAGATAAAGTCAAATTCTCACAACTTCTTTAGAACAAGAAGAATGAAAGTAGCTGTGGTTTAATTTCCATGCTACTGGGGTTTCTAGACTGTCTCTTTCCCTTTGTGGGGTACCCACTTCTCCATGTGGTCCCCCCTTCTCCATCACACCAAATATAGGACCAGGTTGGGGTCTTATTCCATATGAGTCATCCATTATTCTAGTCTTATTCCCCATATAGCTGTTATTATAGAGGGAACTGTCTTGGAGAAATCCCAAAGTCTTCCAAGACTAAACTCAGACTAGCTGTTTGCTATTTTCAGAATCCCCCTTTGTTAAAAGACAATCTCTGATCTGAGGATGAGGAATTTGTAGGCAGGCAAAGAGGGGAGTGGGAATCAACCTTTCTAACCAATTCCTAGATATAGAATTTGCTGGTCTTCAGGCTATTACACAGGTCTTAGATCAATCCCTGAATGGTGCAGAGTGAGCTGAAGAATAATCCTATGCACACTACAGGTCTACAGTTCAAGAACCTGATGTATCGCTTATCTCCAAGATTCAAAATATCGGCAGAGTGGATCTCAGAACTCCTCCATACCATGCCCTTTGCTTGCATCTGCTGGTTAGTCAACCAACACCCATGCACAGGTCTGTATTCTGCCTGTCCTGGAGGTCATTTTGGCCCAACTCAAGTTAGATAAGAGACAATGAACTGAAAGTAGGATCACAATCCTGCTGGCAACAGAAAGGAGCTAGATCAGAGTAAGCTGGTATCAGAGAGGTCTCTGCAGAGGAGAGGGCATGAACAGAGAATCCCAGGCCTGGGAGAAGGTAGGGAATAAGAAATCAGGGTTATTCCCAAAACTGTGCAGAAGGGGTAGGTCAAGGAGAGCTGAAGGGTCATACTTATGCCACTCCAGGTCTTCAGAAGCCCTGTCCCACTTTGATCAGAGGCCAGCAGTCTCCTTCCAATGACACACCTGAGCTGGCTGCCAGCACCTCAGGCAGATGGATGGATGCTAGAAACTCTTCTCCCTGCCACTGACTTATGACCCCCAGCTGCCAAGAACACTGGGGCTTAGATTCTTGACTTAAACTCTAAAAGGATTGTGGCGGCGGGAACACTAACAGATGGAAGATTTAGTTAACAGAGGCTTCCTCCTAGATTCAGTCTCTGTATGCAGATCGGTACTGAACTGCGCATCTCTCACTCCACAGCAGAGGGGGCTCCTAGGACAGTTGCTGATGGGCTAGAGACAGTCAGGAGCCATTCCAATCTCAGTCTTGGAAAGTCCCCTAAAAAAAAAAACCCTTGTTGGGGTTATACTCTGCAACTGACTTTAAAATAAATGGAACGAGAGCCTGGCGGTGTCCAATCCACCAGTCAAAGTTCCCCAGTGAAAGGTCCAGAAGTTCTAGAGGTTGGCAAGATCAGGCTTCCACTCTATCTGCCTCTGAGTGGCTCTTGGGTCTGCTGGAGGTTCCCTGGAGTCCAGATAGTAACCACGAGCTGTGTCTGAGATATAGGCATGTTTTATTTACCCACATAAAAATTTGAGGTCTGAAGAATCCCACAGGAAATTCCTTATCTATCTTCTTTCAATATATCAGAAAAGCTCTGCCTTTACCGAACCCACACTCCGGGATGGCGCAGTGGGTGTTAGCTGATGTGCAGCAGTCAACCCCTCCTGCCTCTCAAGGTCAGGCCCCCTGGCCTGTGAACTCTCCTACATAGGCTTTCCTCTGATGTTTATTCTGACTGATAAGCACAGAAGCTGTTTTCCCTCTTCTTTGGTGCCC